CAGCCGTTACTCGGTAGGAAAGGGCTGTGGGGGCTCCTCCCCCTCGTGAGTTACTGACAACCCCTCCCCCCCCACCTTTCTGCTCCTTGTGCGAGTGGGGAAGGGGGAACAGTGCGGTCGCTGCATGCAGCGGGCCTTTTTTGCAAAGTCACCCAAACAAGTGTATTTCTCTTTAAACAAAAAAAAAAAAAAAGGGGGGCGCATTATCTTTAGAAGCTGACGAGTAGGTTGTTTCCGAGGAGGCGTTGTATCTTTCTGTTAATTATGAAAGTGCGTTTTCTGCTAGCAGCAGTGTTGGGAGGGGGCTGTGGTCTTTGGAGGGATTACTGCAGAAGAAAGTACAGTCAGTTCCCTGCAGGAACAGGGGCAGATAGAGTGCGTATACTTCAGCCATTTGTCAGAGCAGGTAATTCCTGTTTAGTAGTGGTTCTGTAAACGAAGATTAATAGCGGTAATTGGAAAAGCTTTTCTACTGTAAGTCTACTTGTAATTTGCTTTATGTGTTTACATCTGCTAGTGGTAGGAACTTCATGTTACTAATGCTTTGGTTTTTCTCAGTGTCTTAGAAACTTGTAGGCATCTAATGGAAACTTTTGTGTTATGTTCTTGGCATATCTGCAACAACTAGATCTGCATGAACAGTGAACTTGTCTGCTGTAAAGTCACAGTTCTCCTCTAGGTTAGGGGGAGAAAAGAAATAGGCTGTAGAAACTTCTGTGCCTAGTCGATTTTTGTCTGTAATGTGTATGTGACAGAAGATTTACAAGAGCAGAACTACTTAGTTGAATTATGGTAGGGACTTTAGGGGTGTGGATGGAGAACCAAACACCCTAGTATTAAATACTGCAGTTCTTGAGCTATCAGTTTGCTGGCAGTGTGGGTGAGGAGGGGACTGACAAGGTATTGTGTTCTCTGTGAATTAGATTTAGCAATCATCTGCTTTACAGCAGAGTGTGTCTTCAGACATCAGTTTTGAGTAGAACACAGGCTGGGCAATACTGACAGCTGACTGATGCTGAAGGTGGACTTCACAGATAGGAGACTTGTAAACTAAAAATTAGAGTGCACAGAGTCAGAACAGAAGTATTTTCTAGTACAACTAAGTACGTTGCATGCTTTGATATGTGTGCTTACTGCAAATAAACAAAACCATTTCAAATTGATCTGTATGTTTTTGTTTTTCAGACCCCATCAGCTGTTCAGAAGATAAAACAGCTTCTTAAAGATAAACCTGAGCATGTAAGTACAAACAGAACAGACCAATAGATTGTGCTAAGGTATTAGCACAGCTTTTGGTTGCAAAGCATTTCTGGCTAACTTGGAAGTTTGAAATAAACACTGAGGTGTTATTAGAGATGTTGGCATCTTTTTTGGAGGGGAGTGTGTAAGCTTGTTTATATATCAAGCTTCGTTTTTTTATAAAATGAAATACAGTAAATTCCTAACTAATGACATTTTAATGCAATTACTTTTGAGATGGATAAAGTTGAAAAAATTTAAGCTTCAAAATATTTTTGAGCTATATTTTAATGAATCCTTTTAGTATGGTGTAGTGGTGACTTTTGGTAAGGAAAGAGATCTTCAGCTGTTGATACTAACATGTTACTAATTAAGTTATTGTAGTAACTCTAATTGTGAAGTATACAATAATAAAGTTATATTCATACTCCTTGGAAAACATCTAATTCTTAGAAAACTTGCCAGACAATGTATTTTTCTAAGTAATCAGCATTTCTCCAAATAACTGATTGAGCTTGTCATCTTTTCTTCTTGGGGAAAAAACACAGAGTCTTGCTTTCTAACCATTATAAAAATAAGCATTAGATTTTCTTCTTTGCAGAAAGTATTATTTTAAGAATAGTATTTATCTTTGAATTTTCATACAAGGCCCATTGTTACTTTTGCTTCCTGCACATCTGCAGCTAACTAGGCTCTTTGTTCTAATGTTTTAACCATCCTAAGCAAGCCCAAAGCCCACAGTGTAGCTGGTCAGACAACACCTTGCTATATATGGTGTTTGCATTTTCCAGCCCATTAATTTTGCAGTTCCTGAAGAGAAACGTATTTGGTCTGAAAAGATCAAATGCTGTTTGAGATTCCTCTTATTGACAGGTGATATGTTTTGATACTTTTCTATAGTAACATTCATTATGGAGATAGACAATATATTTTTCCTCTTCAATTATGAAGCATTGGTGTGTGGCAAGTGGTGCAGATGCTTCTGAAAAGTTGTCGTTCACAAATAATTTTCTGTTTCTTGAAAACCTTTTCTTATTTCCATACTTAAACAGATGCTCTTTTTGTCAGACTTGTTGGATGCTGTGAATGTTACAAAAGTATTGACTAGGCTGCCTTTTAAGGTCAGTTAGAACAGTAAGCAAGTAAACATTCTTGATTTAAGGAGGGAATTGCTTTTTAAGTGAGACCAGCAGTAAAGGTAATGAAGAAATCAAAAGTACGTTTTTCAAAACTTCAGTTTGAAGTAGGTTTTCTGATAGTGTCATTACAGGAGTTCTGTGAAAATCTAGTTACTGCCCTTGTCTTGGCCTCACGGCTTCATAATTATCATTTTTGTCAATAATCTTAACAGAGTGCCTTAATTAAGATTGGAGTAAACTTTAATTTGAAGTCACAAAAAATCTCCGTCTCTGAAATTTGATTGTCTTCGAGAGAAGGCACTTACAGGAGTGCCAGTAGTTTATTACTTCAAAACTTTAACATACTTTAGAGCTTGATCTATAGTAGCCCATATCTGATGTTTGCTTTTACCTTGGCAGTCAGTTTTGTAGAAGGAAAACAATGTTACCTTTTAATCCTAAGCTATCTCACTTCTGCTTTGAGGCAGTAGAGAATAATAAATGTCAGCATTTTGTTGTTCTACTTTTTATCTTCTTGTTCCAGAATATGTTTTTAAAAACTCATAACTGTGGTGGTGAGTTTTTGTTTGTTTCTTTTTAGGTAGGTGTGAAAGTAGGTGTTCGTACAAGAGGATGCAATGGTCTTTCTTACACGTTAGAATATACAAAATCAAAAGGAGACTCTGATGAAGAAGTAATCCAAGATGGTGAGTTTCTGATGCAGCAGAGCAAACTTCTGTGGTGCTGGCGAAGAATAACCCAGCACAGGTTTGCCAAGGGTCAAGTTGGAACTTAAAGTAATGAGTTACAGCAGAAGGTCCTATTCTTCTGTTAGGGGAATTGGTGTCACCTTAGTTTCTGTTTTGAAGTAACCACTTAGTTAAAATCTGCAGCTTTACAGTCTCTGCATCAGAGACTATTCCACTAGAATAGTGTAGTCCATTGTTTGTATCTTTGGAGGTGGCCAGTAGCAGATATTTAGGGAATAATCCACAACAATGCATATGTAAAGGAATAGTTTGTCAGCATATCTGAACCAAGGCTTGGCAGAGTAAAGATTTTATTTGCAAGGGATTTTTCCCCATTGTCGTCTTTAAGTAGTCTTACTCTTCATTGATTCATAATTTGTTTTTAACCTATATGCTTTTGATCTTTACATTGCTTTGTAACAATGGTTTGTATGATTTCAATCTAAGAGTATTTTAGAGATTGTTTTCAAATGCTGGTATTTAAGCTTTCTGCCAGATAATTTCACTGAGCATCCCATGACAGTCCTAGTGCTGCAGTTCCTGTTGTGGTTTAATCTCAGCTGGCAACTAAGCCCCACATGGCTGCTCACTGACTCTCCCTCCATGGGACTGGGGGGAGAATAAGAGTGGGAAAACTCATGGGTTGAGATAAAGACAGTTTAATAGGTAAAGCAAAACAAGGAATTAATTCACTGCTTCTTATTGGCAGGCGGGGGTTCAGCCATCAGGAATGTGTTCGGCCATCTCCAGGAGAGGAGGGCTTCATCATGAGTAGCAGTTGTATGAGGAGACAAATGCCATAACACTGAACATCCTCCCCTTTCTCCTTCTTCCCAGAGGTTTTTATTGCTGAGCATAACATATGGTGTGGAGTATCCCTTTGGTCAGTTGGGGTCACCGCACCAGCCTAGTTTGTGGTTGTATAAACACTGCTCTGCAATAACTAAAACATCCTTGTGTTATCAACATAGTTTCCAGCACAAATCCAAAACTTAGCCCCATACAAGCTACTGTGAAGAAATTTCACTCTATTCTAGCCAAAACCAGCACAGTTCTACACATTTTCTCATTTTTATAAAAATTTGTGACAGTGCTCTTTTCATCAAATATGGATTTTTACAATAGCATAATAGTGTTTGGTTTCTGTTCTTTTTCTAGAAGTTCCTAAAATTCCTTTTGTGGGGGTAGTTTTGGAGGTTTTTTTAGGCTGAACTCAGTTATATTATGTTCAGGAGTATTACTTTTCATTTGGTAGGAAAGCAAGAGATTTGAATATAAGAGGAATATCAAAATTGCTTTCTCACAGAACTATGCTGTTGCTAGGCATAGTGCCTCTTCCAGCTGTCTTACCTGTGACCAACTCATACATTTTATTTATTTAAACAGAGAGTTAGTTAGAACTTCAGTAAAAAATTAAATTGAACCAGAGTATGTGAGATAGGAGCAGCCACCTAATTCTGCAGGTGCCTGTTGGTTTCAAATTCAGGTGGCTTCTGAAGTTACCACTTCTGCTTAACTCTGAGCTGCTCTAGATTTATGGGACTGAAAACATTTTTCAGAAAGCATTTTGCAATTGGTTGCTTCTAGACACATTTCCAGTGAAGGCTCTGACTTTTATATAGCTCTGTGCTCAGTGAGCTGGTGGCTTTGGATCCCAGCCCCTCAGTTCAAGAAGGACAGAGAATTGCTTGAAAAAGTCCAGCGCAGAGCCACAAAGATGATTGAGGGAGTGGAGCATCTCCCTTATGAGGAGCAGCTGAGGGAGCTGGGTCTCTTTAGCTTGGAGAAGAGGAGACTGAGGGGTGACCTCATTAATGTTTATAAATTTGTAAGGGGCGAGTGTCAGGAGGAAGGAGCCAGGCTCTTCTCAGTGATGTCAAAGGGGCAATGGGAGCAAGCTGGAGCATAGGAGGTTCAATCTGAACATGAGGAAAAATGTTTTTACTGTGAGGGTGACAGAGCACTGGACCAGGCTGCCCAGAGAGGTGGTGGAGTCCCCTTCTCTGGAGACATTCAAAACCTGCCTGGACACGTTCCTGTGTGACCCAGTCTAGGTGATCCTGCTCTGGCAGGGGAGTTGGACTGGATGATCTTTCAAGGTCCCTTCCAACTTCTAACATTCTGTGATTCTTTGTGAAATTTTCTGGCTTTTAGGTAGTAAGTGACTGCTTCAGTTTATAAACTCTTTAATTAGGTTTATCCTTCACTGTCAGTTGCTATCATAAGTGACCCCAGAAATGCGTGGATTCAACTCAGTTGCTCATAGACCTGTGTAATATGTTTCGTCTCCATGTCTACTATTTTTTCTTTTTTCTTTTTTCCTTATCTGTGGACAATTAAACTAATCCACTCACACCTTTATGTTAGATTTGCAGTTTTAAAGTTCAGTAACTTTCCAGAGAGGTACCTCTTCCTAGTTCCTAAGATGAACTACTAATTTTTACTCCTTAAAGGCTGTGATATCTTTGAAAGTTCACACATTTGCCTTGTTACAGGATTCAGCATTGCTAATAGTTAATGTAGACCGAATAGTTTTGACAGAGCAGAAAATAGTCATTTTGAGAGAGTAATGTTTGACTTTTCAAGGGTTTTGGGCTTCTTGTTAAATGTCTATACTTTAAGAATGGTAGGAAGTAGGTTACTGACTGTAGTGCATGTTAGTTAAGTACTGAAACTGAGATTCGTTCCCAGGTTCTACAGCTTGTTTCCCTGGGCATCATTAAATCCCCTTCCCATAAAAAAATACATACAGTCATGTGCACACATAAATAACTGTGGTAGGCTGTTGCTGGAGTTCTGTAGATAAGAATAAAAACAGTGATGAAATTCCCTCATGATAGGCCAGGAAAACCAAGTTATACTCTTTGTATTTAGCTTGCTTTTTTATCACTGGTCAAAAGAGAATTTTAAAGTGAATTATTATTTTGCTATATGTAATTTTTTTCTTTGTTGTCTTCAAGGAGTTAGAGTGTTTATTGAGAAAAAGGCACAGCTGACACTTCTAGGAACTGAAATGGACTATGTGGAAGACAAACTGTCCAGTGAATTTGTCTTCAATAATCCAAACATCAAAGGAACATGTGGCTGTGGAGAAAGCTTTAACATCTGAAATCTCAGGACTACTTCTTTGACTTTGAAAACCCCAAAACACTTACTGTTATGGCTTTTGGAAGCAAATGCATTTTCTTCAGGTTTGTGGGCAGTGTAAAGTGTGGATACCATTAAGAAAAATAAATCATTTTGAAAATGTAAATTGGGTATTAAATTCCATCATTGATGTAGTTATGCTGTAATCTGTGATAAGTTGGGATCCAAAAGGTAAGAACAGTAAGAGCTGTAGTAACATCTCTCTGCTTTCACAAGCCAAGGAAATAAAATCTCACTGTTCTTTTCCTTTGTCATTTTCTTTGTTCACTGTAATTACACTTCCCTATCCAGACCCCATTTGAATATATTGCCTATGTGTTCTGCTTTGATTTGGGGATAGAAAAAAAAAGCAAAAACCAAAAACCCCAACCCAACCGTTTATATGTATTTGTTTATAAAGATTTATATACACAGGCACACAGCTGTCCTGAACTTAGAGTACACTATGACTATGTAGATGCATGCTTTGTTTTTGTAGTTTTCTAGTGCTTCCATCTTTTTTATATGTGGATTTTTTCTGGTGGTTTATTTTCCTGTAAATCTGGTGAAGTCCAAAATTAAGTTAGTATATTAATATAGTGGTAGGCTTCTGTAGTGCTGCTTGTAGAAATACTTCAAAATGGGCTAACCCAATTTTAGATCTGTTTCTTTCCATGTTGAAGGCACAGTCTCTGCTGTACTTTGAAAGTAATTTTCAAGAACATGAAATACATTCACAGAGTACTAATGCAGGACACACACAGGCCTTGTTTCTCACATTTCTGTAGTTTTTCTTGACTTAAATTGCACAGTTGGTAAAACCACCTCCAGATCCTGGCACTGCATGTTTGCAGAATGTGCTGTCTGTCCACCAGAAGCGATGAACGCTTTTTTTGAGGGAGAAACCCGTACACTTTTCATTACCTTTTTTTGTAGTCATGTCTGCTACTAATTTTATTACAGCTTGAACTGTGTTTGTAGCTCTGTAGGTACTAGGGTTTTCCACCAAAGCTTGTGGTAACTTCTCTTTAACTTCTGTCTTGAGATTAACTTGGTAAAAGGAGGAAAAAAAAGCATAATTTTAAAAAAACCCGAGTATTAATTATTGTTTTAAATTACTCTAGAAATTAATTAAAATGTTTATAGGAGGCTGTTTTTCCTTTGAAATTTAAACTTACTTTCTCCTAATCGGAGTTTTGGTTTTGTAAACCAGTGTTTTTCAAATTTTTACAAATCCTTCAGCACTTCTTCCACTAGTGCTCAGGCAGAAGCGTGAATGTCTCTCCAGGCCATCCTAAAAGGTGGTACAGGAGAAGTACTGTTCCATCCTTTCATCTCCATGTTTTCCTGATTGTCCAAAGATGACATTGTGCAGCCAAGCTGCTCAGTTTTGCTGAAGGGAAGATAACTTGCCTGCCTGGGCAGCTGGTGGAACAGCTGGTGAAAAGGGTACAAATACAAAGTCGGGGACAACAAGTGCTGGGATCTTGCAGTCAAGGTCAAGAAGGTGTTGAGATGGGAGAGAACTGACAGCGTTAAAGCTGCATGTTGAAAATCCAGAGGTCATGTTGATGGAGAACGTTGTACCCACATGCCTGTGAACACCTTTTGAAGAGTAATGTGCTGAAGATGTAGGATTGCAGCTATATTTTTATTCTTCCCTCTACACCTTTTCCCAAGTCACCTGGGAAGGGAAGTCACTTGAAGAGGGAAGAATGAAAATGAAAAAATAAAATACTTCTTGATCTGTTTTATGTAGCGCATAGAAACAGGAGGTCAGAATTTCCACACTTACAGTTCAATATTGAATACTTGAGTTTTGGTTGTATAGTCTATCACCTTTTGATGTAAAAACACGATTTCCTTCAACACTCAACTGTTGCACTCAGTTACTTTGTATAGTAATTCAAGAATTACTGGTAATACAGCGGCTAGGTGCATTTATAGTGCCATTCTTTTAGTCTTGCCAAACCAAAAAAAGTGCAGTTGATGTGATAGAGCTGCATTAATAGTTCTAAAACTCCAAGCTAAGGGCATTTCTTCAGATAATGTTTCTCTGCTTCTTGCTAGGGGATAAGATTTTGAATGTGGCAGCACACTGTGCTAGTACTTACTCATTTAACTTGTTTTGGTGTATTTTGGAGTGAGGGGATCGGTTTGGGTTGGTTTTTTGTTTGGTTTTTGTTTTTAAGACCTGTGGCATGTATAGCAACACTTTTCATGTGTTTTGTGTATATGCCTTGAATGAAAGTTTGCACTTTCATACTCCTGTGAAATAATCCTCTAAATTGTCACTTTACTAAGACACCTAACGCACAATGTGTTAAACATGTGTTAAAGTGCTATTTACTGTTGCATAGGAACATAGCTTTGTTGATTGGTCCATTATAATTTCGTGCAATAGTGTATGTAGAGTCCTGAGTTATAATAATAAAATGTTGCCTGTTGGTAAACATGAAATATTCCTATTTTGAATGATTCTGTTTACAATAATAAGCAAACTGAGGGGGGAGGAGGAGGAGGGGAAGAATAGGTTTGTATGCCAGAAAGGTGGGCTGTTAATGCATAGATTTCTATTAAACTTCGCCACACACCATTCTTGGGGTGAAAATTCAAACAGGCAAGATGCTTATTTTGAAGCCTTCTGCATGCCAAAAAGTCATTGTGGTGTGGTTTAATGCAGGGTAATGATGTTGATTAAAGCAACATGAAAGGTTTCTAATTGGCAATTTGAGAGTGAAAGTCAATGGGCATTCCAGGCTATTCCACTTAGTGTGGTGTAATGGCATTAATAGGGCATAGTGTACTATGTTTATGACACATTTTGGGTTTTCTCTTAGATACAGTCTTTCTACCTCTAAGCTAAGTTTCCTTTTCCTGTCACATGAAGATTCTGAATGATAGGGGGTGAAATGATACATCTTAGAAATATGCTAGAGATTGTTGATACAGATGCATATTCGTGATGCAGGAGGGAGAGAACCAAGGCCAGGTTGGACAGGGCTTTGAGCAACCTGGTCTGGTGGGAGGTGTCCCTGCCCATGGCAAGGGGGTTGGACTGGATGATCTTTTAAGGTCACTTCCAACCTAAACCATTCTGTGATGCTATAATAAATCCTTTGTGCAGTCAGGAGGCTGGAAGCACAACAGTTACCTTTCTGTTGGAGTTCTCACTGAAGATGTGAAGAAATGCCTGCTTGCATCAGCAAGTTGGTATTCCTGATCCACTTCTTTTTACAGCTCTCCTTGAATGACTCAGGAACAACTTGTATAGGAAGACACTGAACAGTTCAGTGTGCAAGTCATCCTGACAGTGGATGATGGGACAAAGTGAATTTGAACTCCAAAATAAAAAATGAGATGGAGGTAATGGTACTCTGACATTTAATGTCAAGGAAGCTTTTTGTCGTTGTTGTTAAATCCTATCTGTCATAGGTTGCTTATATTGTTTGGGTTTTTATTGTAATTATTTTCTCCCCATTTATTTAAATCAGTGCCTTCACCTGTGGAAAAATACTTCAACTATACCGCTGTTGTGTTCACACTGACTGCCTGGCTGTTTATTGGATAAAATTTTTACAAGGCTAAAATTTTGCAGTCTCTTCTGGCAGAATTCTTCCACTGTTGTCTGCTGTGGCAGAGTGTGCATCTCTGTGTTCACCTCAAAAGAGTACTTGAAAAATTACTTTTTGTCATGACCAGTACTGATTTTTGTCTATAAAGTGATTTTCCAGACAGTGAGAAGTTTGGCCTGCTTTGTTCTTCATAGAAACTTTTAACACATACGAGATATGCTGCTTTAACACAGTGAGCAAAAATGCGAGTGCTTAGCACAACTGCACATGCATTTGGGCTTGAGCAGCATTTGTACAGCAATATTTTTTTTGAGTATTGTAACAGTATAATAGCACTTTGCAGGTTTTCTGTGTTATCTACTTTGTTTTAGCCTCATTTTTTAGTGGACTGATTGGCTAGGTAGCTCTACAGTGCCAAATTTTTATTGTTCAAAGTCCTCTTTAGTATGTATAGTGAAACTGTCAGAATGCAAAGATATTCTAGGCTGAGTCACAAATACACTTCTACTGAATTTTTGTAGTGAACAAAGAATTGATGCCAGAATTTATAGGAGTCTAACATTTCAAGTTCAGTATTTATACGCATAGGATTTCAGTTACTATCATTTGCCCCTATTCTGAAAAAAAAAATTGTTCATGACATAAATGAAAAGATTATTTTGTTTCTCAGTGGTGCTATACGTATCAGCACACTTGGTCAGAAGATCAGTAAAAGGCAGGTATTGATTCTACTTTGTCCCTTGGATTGTGTGGCCTTAAATGGTGATTTATCTTAATGAAGACAGCTCCCTTGGTTTCTTTCATAAACTTTGAGTGCTCTCTGAAAAAAATCAAAGAGCCACTGCAATCCCAACAAGCAGCATTCTGCCTGGACTAAGTTGCTAGTCTAAGCAATGCTGCTTACATCTACACAGAAATGGTCAGTTTCTCATGAGTTTTCAGTAAAATAAAATTATTTTTAATGCGTAGTATTTGGATCCACTACTTAATAATATAGGTCAGCAAACAAGTAACACGTCCTTATCATGGTTTGATGCATTGTCTTCACAACTTCCTAGTAAGAAACTGGTACTGGGTGCTAGACCAAAGCTAAGCAGAGGTATACGCAATGTTACAGCTTCCTTAGGTTCACTTCTAGTCATCTGTTCTGTACATATATCCTTACATATTTTTCCAGACAAATTACATTTGTAAACTAGTTTTGGACAATTCTATTAATCAAGATATGATGTGGAAAATCAGGTATTTTTTTCATGGAGCAGTTGACATCTTCAGTCTGTTACAAAAATTATAAAAGTTATGTGTAATGTTACAAATCAACCCAAAGAGAATGTATTCTGTCATTGTTGTGGAGTGCTGGAAACTTGGCTCATCATCTCTTACGTGATCATCTTGGCTTTATTTTCATATCTAGCCTGTGATTACTTTTTATGCAATGTTTCAATTGTAAAATTTTTTGTGGCAAGGATGATTTGTATGCATTGTATGAAGATCAATGGCTACCAAAACCTGACTCTTACCAAAATTTACAGTCTTTGAAAAATTTAAGTAGTAATAATACTAGTCAAAGAAAACTTCATAGTCATCCATTAATTTTTAAAGTCCTGCACCATTAATGTGAAAAATTTCCTATATTCTTTTCAGGTATCTGAGTTGTTGTCATCCCTCACAAATATTAAAAATGAGCAGCAAAAGGGCCCATCAGTTTTGGAGCAAGCACACATCTCTCTCTTCTATACTATGCAGTCAGCCGTAAGATCTAACGATTTGGATGCTGCAGCATCTAACAAACGCTGCTTTCTTTCTAAT